ATTTGTTTAACATGGAGAAGAATGGAGTCTTGGAGTCATTTCTGGTGAGAAATTGAGATGCTGTACTTTGAAAAGGTGTAAGAAAAGGAGGGATGTGCTTGATGGGTTAACTGGGAATGTATGTGGTCTTCCTCAAGTAGTAAGACATGTACAAGTGGACACGAAGGGCTGAGCGACTTATGGAGGAAGCCCTGGACTTAGGTGCCATTCAGTCTATGGAAAGCTGGGGGTTTGTGCGAATCACTGCAAGCTGGCTACTCCACCTCCAGGTTTTATATACATATTATATATTACATATATAAAATTATGCATATATATGTAATAGGCAGAGGAAGAGGGGAAAGGTGGAGAGTAAAGGGTGCACAGTGCTTGGTGAATGTGCCCTTATCCCCTTTGCAAAAATAAAAGAGAGAAATAACCATTACTCTGGAGATCTCATCCAGTAGACTGCAGATTACACCTTACTGGCCACAAGTGAATCATGTGACCCCACCATCTCCAAGGTAACCTGGGGAGTTAACTATTTTGCACAAACACATCTCCCACCCTGAACCAAATTCAGGTTCTGACAGTAAGGAAGATGGAAAGAACGGACATTGGGAGACAAGCAGCCCTGTCTGCCACCTTGCTTCTCTGCCAGGACCTGGTTTGTAGCTATCCTGTCTGTGGACCTCTTTTCTGAACTCGGCAAATAATCATGTTTCTAAAATCCATAAATCTAACTCCAATGAAGTTTAGCTCAGGATTGCTGGAGGGTTTTGAAAGAAAGGGAGGAGGGGGTTCTATCACAAGCAAAACTCCCAAAGCCTGCTTCACCATTTCTCCCCTCCCTTCCCAGCTGTTGTCCATGGTGTAGAAGACTTCTTCCTCCCAACATCCTCCTCTTCTGTCTCCAGTCATGGTCATGTACACCTTCTCCTCCATCTCCTCCTCAGCTTTCTCAGCTTGTGTCCTCCTCTCGGTCACTTCCAGAGTGTCCCTCTGGAAGACTCCAAGATGCCTTCAACTCATCATGCCATACTCTGAAAAACGCCTTGGCCGCCCGTCCACCTTCCCAGTATATGGCTGTTCCTTCATCCTTTCACGATAACTCAGGCGGCCTGACAGGGGCCTGGTCAGAAAACTCACCACAGGTTAACAAAGGCCGGGCCTGACGCTCCAACAAGCACCTTGCCAAGACCCTCAGTCTTAGCTCCTCTGATGACATTAGCCCAGAACTGCTCCCTTCCCATGCAAAACCCTGGGGTGAAAATATAGGGAGGAGGCTGCCAAATTTTGCCCATGAAACAAATTCCGTTTGGTTTCACTGATTTTCCTCGTGTTTGTTTACTAAAGTATTTTTGTTTATAATTCAGGAAATTTTACATCAGATTCCAATTTCAGGATTCCCTTTGAAAAAAGTAAACCTAAGGGTATTGTGACGATGATGGTTCTCTGTCATTTCCTCCTGAGCACCTGATCAGGGCCCCTCCTGTGAGTTCTAACCGGCCTGCCCTGTGTGTCTCTTCTTTCCAGAACCTGACAGAAAATGACATCCAGAAGTTCCCTAAGCTGAGGATGCCGTGAGTACGCCCCCTGGTGGGCAGCAGGATGGGGAACAGGTTAAAATAAAGACCTGTTGAGGGGAGACTGGGTCAGGTGTATATTAATGTAATTTTAAATGGTAAAATCAGGTAGGGAGATTGAGGACAATAGCAGAGTCTGGGGAAGAGGAATCCCATGATGAGCTAGAAGTAACAGATCCAGTCAGTCATGCTAGTAGTTGGATTCCTTGTCCAACACAAACTCCCAACACTAGATTGTATGTTTCATTTCCCGCCTTTTTGATAGGATAGCTTGGGCCTATGAGCACAGTACCAAAATCAAGAGACTCTATGGTTTCATCATGATGTCTTTTAAAAGATTATTTCATGTTAAAATTATGTTTGGTCTGTGTGTTTGCATGTGGGTATGTGTGTGAGCATAAAGATGCAGGTATAGGCCAGAAGAATGTGTCAGATCCCCTGAGGCTTGAGTTACAGGCAGTTATGAGGCACCTGATGTGGGGGCTGGGAGCAGAATCTGGGTTCTCTGTAAGAACAGCACATGACCTTAACTGCTGAGTCATCTATCTAGCTCCTCATGGCATCTTCATTGACTCACTGGTTTAAGACTGCAAGACCTCTGTTTCTTGGTTAATAAAATGAACATGGACTCAAATAAATGATGGCAAAGGAGATCATTTTATCTGTCAATACTGATTTCTTGGGATAGCTGCTGTTGGTTTAATGTTAAGAAGAATGTTGAGGAAAAGGAGCTATAATCGATTAGTAATGTCTACCCTGGGTGCTGAAATGGGAAGCAGCGGTATGCATATTGTGACATGCATTTTTCATTGTCCTAGTAGAGACCTAACATGCTCAAATACAGAGGCCAGTCAGGTGAATAAATGTACAAAGTAGGACAGGTTGTAAACACAAATTCCCATTGATTTATCTTTCTTTTTGTTATCATTGAATATGAGTGTCTCTAAAGAAATATTTTTTACACTAAAATAAAAATAGGAAATTATGATTTTAAAGACAACCAGTAGAAAGGTTGACTGATGGTGAAACAGTAGGGGGTAATGTTGGTTATGGCAAATCACATACCACGTGTTCCATTCTGAGAGCCCTGTAGCTACTCATCTCCAGCCAATGTGGACCCAATGATGGCCAATCTTTAAATTGATCAAAAAATAGCTAGAAACATGAGTTCAAATGTTTTATGTCTCAATTTTTCAATACTGACTCAAATGTTTTTAGACATTGTGAAAATCAGCACAAAGCTACACATGAGTTGGATTTGCTCTTGGTACTACTGGTTTGAAACATCTACTTTGAGCATTTCCTAGAACCCCTTCTCTTGTTCTAAGGGCCTTAGACTGCATAATGATAAAAAGAAAGTATCCCAAGAAAGTAGGAAGCTGGAAGATTTCTTGGGTATGTAGGAAATAAGGAAAATACACTTAGCCTGGCTATTTCTTCTTTGTCCAGTAAAGTGAATGTAGCTGAAAGCTTTCATGTGTCCCCTAGCTGCTTGGTCCCAAGTAAACACACAGAGGCTTATATTAATTACAAACTGTTTGGTCTATGGCTCAGGCTTATTGATAGTTAGCTATTACATCTTAAATTAACCCATTTCTTTTAATCTATGTATTGTTACATGGCTTCATGGTGTTACCTGTTCTCTGACATGTTCCTCCATTAGTGGCTCCTGGCAGTGCTCTTGACTCTACCCTTCTTCTCTCTGTATCTCTGCTTGGATTTCCCACCTGGCTCTTATCCTGTCTTACCATAGACCAAAGCAGCTTCTTGATTAATCAATGGTGGCAACACATATTCACAGCATACAGAAAGACCATCCCACAGCAAATAAAGGAAATGAAAACATTAAGAGTTCACCCTTGTGGCTGCCTATCTTTGGTAGAGCTCCCTAGAATTTTTTTTTTTGTAAGTACATATGGCTGATTCAGTTTTGGTTAAATCTAATATCCAGTTCTACCAGCCCACCAGACATCTTTCAGTAGCTACAGGTATGTGGTGACTACTATAATAGTCTCTCTTCATTTGTGGTTTTGCTGCCCATGGTTTCCATTACCCATGACCAACCGCATCTGAAACACAGTGCAATAAAATACAGAGAAAGAGAGGAGAGAAGGAGAGAGAGAGAGAGAGAGAGAGAGAGAGAGAGAGAGAGAGAGAGAGAGAGAATCCACACAGCTTCTATTTTACAGTATTGTAACGGTTGCTCTATTTTCTTATCAGTTATTGTGTTAGTCTCCTACTGCACCTAGTTTATAAGTTGGCCTTTCTCATAGGTGTGCCTTCATAGGCAGAATCATCAGATATATTCTATCAGGACCAGGACCACCTATAGCTTCAGGCATGTCTGCTGGGGGACCTCCTGTGGACAAAGGGTGGTGGTGACTTTATATAAGAGTATGGGCATAGGACAGTCCTATGAGTGCATGAATGAGTTCTGTTAAAAGTCAGACACACAGGAGGCAGAATTGTCAGCCACAAACTCAGCCTCAGCTACTTTAGGCTTTGGTCATTGTGTGTTTTAAAAACCATCAAAAGTTTCACAGAATCTACTTTCTCTTAAAAAAAAAAAGGAAAGTATAATTCTAGGTCTACATTCTATTGTGACAGCAGTCAGGCAAATCTGATGTCCATTTCCCCTTTAAGAAGGATTCATTCTTTATCAGTTTACCTTAGATCTCACCAATAGAAACACAGTGGCGACTCTTATGCTAACCCTCAGCTTCCAGTCTCCAGCCCAGGGCAAGGATAGCAGAGAAACCCTGAGTCTGATGGATCCTCGAATTGAGGAGCCAGAGTAAAGACTCTAGGAGATAGAGTCCATTAGAGGAGAAAGCTGGATAGAAAATGTCCTGGAAACTTTCCAGGGTCCCTCTCTAGTAGGGTACTGGTCAGCCTACGCATTGGAGGAAGCCTGTGTCTGACCAAAGACCTATCTAATCAGAGAAGTAACAGAAGCTACAGGGTTGAACGTGGCACCTGTTTCTAGCAGTCAGGGTCAGGGTGCCTAGATTCAGTCACCAAGGAGAATGCGCAGGAAGTCTTTGCCTCTGAAAAGAGGAATGATCAGTCCTAATCGGCAACCTATTCTGGCTCAGCCTGGTGAGCCTTACAAACAAGGCAGAGATGATGCAGACTGTTTCCAAGCAACTCTACTACATCCTCCAACGAAACTTGAATGTGCAAAAGCATCCATGATCAAACAAAAACACAGTGTGCAGTATCTAATCAGTAACAGGCAAGGACATAAACAAGAAAATATGACCCAGAGTGGAAAAAACAAACGTATTAAAACTGACCCAGATAGCTGGATCTATCAAAAAAAAAAAAAAAAAAAAAAAAAACTCCAAAAAAAAAAAAAAAAAAAAAAGAGCCCCATCTATCCAAAGTCAAGCTGAGGCACAGGGAACACAAACGGATCTGCACAGACCTTCTCGAGATGGAGGTGTCTGGGATGAAGGGTAGACTGCTGTAGTCTCACCAGGAACTAGGCTTTGCACGTCAGCGTGCTGGTTACTTCTCTGCTGCTGTCACCAACGTTGTAACCAACAGCAGCTGGGGGCGGGGGGGGGGGGGGAGGAAGGGCTTATTTGACGGGCAGGTGTGCACAGTCCGTTATCCGAGGAAGTCAAGGAAGGAGCTCAAAGCAGGTACGTGGAGGCAGGAACTGAAACAGAGACCTCTGAGGGACAAAAAAAAAAAAACTGCTTACCAGCTTGCTCCCAGGCTTACATTCAGCTACCATTGCATACTTCCCAGATTCATGTTTTCCCAGGGGTACCACTATCCATGGTGTGCTGGACCCTTCTCCACCAATTAGCAATAAAAAAATGCCCCATATTCTTGCCTACAGGCAATTTCCTGGAGTCAGTTCCTCAGGTGAGGTTCCCTCTTCTCTGGTATCTCTAGTTTGTGTCAAGTAGACAACTAATCAACTGAGTCATTGGACATGAACACAGAACCAGAGAAACTGCCCAAAATCAAACGGAGGAGAAAGTATTGCAGAGTCGAAGATCATCAGGGAGCCAGAGGATGGCTCAGGGAGAGAGTGCTTACCTAGCATTCCTGCGGCTCTGGGTTTGCTCTCCAGTGCTGGAAGTGGGCAGAGCATCCCACAACTGTGGGGCCACTACAACCAGCTGAATGTGCAGAATTATGGTTCCCAAAAGATGTGCCTGCTGAGAGGAGGAGATACAGAAATAAATGACATGAGGAAATAGCAGCTGAGACATTCCCAAGTTGGATAAAAATTGTTAAGTTCACAGATTCAAGAGGCATCACAAACCCTAAGCCCAAGAAATAGGCGGACTGCTGCTCTGTGATGCGTTATCATCAAATTTCCCAAAAAAACAACTGACTAGAAATAAAATGTGAAGAGAAAAAAACCACCCGTGTAGTCAGAGAAGAGAAATCACATCACACCCTGTGGAGTGACTGAAGATGGGAGGGGCAAGTTCTGTCAGAAACGATGTCACCTAGAAGACTCCTTAAGTCCCAAAAGGGGGAACAGTTTCAAGACCAGCCCCTAGTGATGCGTTATTTCAGAAACGAAAGCAAAAACCTTAACCAGATTGCCTTGATCTAGTCTTCATTATATTTACTGCTACTGCCCAAATGATAATCAAAATGATGCCTTAATAATTAACTGTGAAATTCATGAGAAAGTTAGAAGCCTCCAAAGACATTTCTCTTTGGCCAGAAGACAGGCATGCTGGGGGGGGGGGTGGTCATGTGAGCAGAGCCCATTGTTTTATTGTGCTCTGATGTGGTGTTTGCTGGAGTTTCTCATCGTCTAGAACTGTGCCCGGCATACAGTAGGCATTCAATAAATGTGTGTTGTCCAACCGCTGACAAGTGCAGGTACACTAGGACGTTTTCAGACATACAAAGGCTGAAAGAACTCATTACAAATGCTCAGCCACACTACAACTGTTAGAGAAAATCTGCCGGGAGGAAGGAAATGGCACCTGCTGCTAGTGTGGATCTTCATGGGAGGATGCAAAGTGTCAGAAATGGTGGCCATGTGCTTGTAGATACATATTCAACCCTTTGAGGACATCTGACTTCTATCTCTCGGTTCCTACACAAATTACTACTTTGTGACTACTTCATTCTTTTGGTGAAATGCGACTAAATGCCTATACTGTTTTAAGACTTGTCAGAGTGGGCCTACAAAGATAAAGGACAGATCCTTCACACACAGCACGCTCACATTCTAACTGGAAGAGGAGGTAAGAGCCCATTCACAGTCAGACATAGTGGCCCATGCCTGCAATCCCAGCACTTGGGAGGCAGAAGCAGAGGGAGTTCAAGGCCAGGTTCAGCAACACAAAATGAGTTAGAGGTTAGCCTGGGCTCTATGAAAACAACCCTGTTGCCAAAAGGGGAAAAAAAAAAAAAGAAGGGCAGGGAGGAAGGTAAGGAGAAGTAATAGAAAGGGGAAGAACTGTGGAGCATTCTGGGAGAAGGAAGCATATTGTAAAATCACAGAGGCGAGCATATTCATTGGTACGACTGTGTCTGAGAGTTGGGACGTGTGCAGCAGGGCAGAGGAAAACAAAGAGGCTAACGCGGCTAGTTGGTGTGTGCAGCTCACAGTTGGCAAAGGTCCTGTGAGCTTCTGTAAGGAAGAGTTAGCGAAGGGAGTGTACCAGGAAGAATATCAAAGAAGCCATACATCTTGGATCTGTCCAGGGAAGTGTAAGAGATGACTTAGAGGGGAATCAGCTGGGACATGAGAGTGAGTTAGATGTGGATGCCCTCATGCTCGAAAGACATTGCAAGGACTCTGGGCATGCTGTCTCAGCTCTCTGAGCCTCTGTTTCTCGTCTGTAAAGTGGAGATAGTAATGGGACTGACCTCAAAGGGTCAGTGGGGGAAATTAGAAGAAACACTGGGGAAATACAAATAAAAACCAACCAAACAAAAAAACCACTGAATGAGTATAAGCTTGTCTTTTATGTAACACTGTCACCAGCATGGTTTCCCATCTTTATGAATTCGATATTGCTGGAAAGAGAGGATTAGAGAATAGCAAGGGCACAAGGCTACAGAGTAGGAGGGACTGCTTCTAAAGCTGAATGTGCCTCCTGCCTCCACTGAGGCCCTTGGGAAAACTGCTCAGATAGACTGAGCCTCAGTTTCCCCTTCTGGAGAAGGGCAAAGTAATAAATAGTTCTCAAGGAGGGGGGAATATTAAAGGAACATAAATTCCCTGGCTCTATTCTTTACAATACAGATACTTAATAATTAGTATTTTACCATCTTATACAGAGATTGGTTTGTCTTGACCATCATCTTGAAGGCCGATGGAAAGAGATTGTAGTCAAGTACAGAAGCAAAATAAGATCACATGTCTGGATATTTCTGTATCCTTTCCCACTGCTTAAAATGTTAGTTAAACAGAGACCCATAACCAGACAATGTACAGAGAGTGAGAGACTTTGGAGCACTCAGTTCTAAATGGGATGTCTTTACCAAACCCTTCTCCTCGGGGTTCAGGGAACTGTGCAGAAGAGGAGGCAGAAAGACTGTAAGAGCCAGAGGTGATGTGATTCCAAGGAAACAGTGTCTTCTAGATGCAACAGGACTGATGTACATATGAACTCATAGAGACCATGGCAGCGAATGCAAAGCCTGCGCAAGGTCAAGGCAAACAGGTCCCACCTCCGAGCAGGGGAAGTAGACACAGGCTCCTGCCAGTAACCATAAAGCTATCTGCAGTTGATAGCCAAGGAGAAATCAGTTTTCTTCAATGGAGTCTCACAGGATATACTAACCACACTTCAGGGCAGTCCCCGTGCCCAGGAATAGCTGGCCAACACAAAATGAGCTCAACAGTATTTTGAAAGGGAAAAAAAAAAAACACCAAAATTAAGTTAGATTTTATTAAAAGGTTGATTCTGTAATGAAATTCTCTTTCTGCAAATACAGTCACTCTCTCAGGACATGGTTGCTAATCAAGACACCCTGAACATTTTAATAAGGCGATCTTAGAGAAAACAATGGAAGTTCCCTTTACAGAGCCTAGATTGAGCCTCATATTGTAGCTGAGGCTGGCGGGGGCAGCATTGGTGTGGGTGGCGCAGGCAGCAGACAGACTGGCATGAGCTTATGCCCTTCACAGTTGACTTGCACTGTATCCATCACATATAGTGATTAGATCCATCAGAGGAGCTGTGCAGAGTTCACGTGTCTCTCTGGACAAAGCCACGAGGTTCCTAACAGCAGAGACCATCTTCTGTCTCATCTACATAGTGCTTATCTCTATACTGGGGAAGAGAAGGGAATGGGGAAAGAGTAGAGGGGGAGCCTCAGAGGAGAAAAGAACACTCTCTACCTACAAGTAAATAATCAGCCCCCAGCAAAACAGAAGCATTTATGCCTTTGAAACCTACCTCCAACCTTCCCTCTACCACCAACTGGCTAATCCCGGTCCAGGCACCCAGCCCTCCACAATCCTTCTCAACGAGGGGTGCTTCATCTCAGCTGCCACCTCTCCTCCTCCAGTGCAAGTTCAGGAAACTCTACTTAAGGCTCCCTCCACTGCACGTGGACACAGATCCTCAGTTGCTGCAAGTTCCACACTGGAAAAACAGAGCTGACTATATCTGCTTACCACTAAACGGCTGTAAGGTCCACGTCAAATGCAGGCATGAAGGCGGTGGAGAGGGAAGCAGGGAGGTCATGTTGCTCCCCCAGGCTTTCCGACCTACATGCAGGGTTCCACTGAGATCTAAAAGGACTTGAAAGGCCCTTCCTGAGTCTTCAGACAGACATTGCGACTCTTCTCTGGCTAAGGAAGGATTATGGAAAGCCTGCCTCTTGGTTCAAAAAGGATGATAGTTTCCTTAAAGAACATGAAATTCAGAGCAGAGGCCATGATGGTGCAAAGGTGTTCTGGAGGAGGGCTGAGGGCAGGGCTGGAGGACACACCCTGACAGTGCCACTCCAGGCAGGTGCAGATGTCTACCCCACCCAAGGCCTGGAGGATGCTGTTCTAGAGGGACCCCCAGGCAAGAGAGCAGCTTTCCAAGGGAGCATCCCAGCCAAAATGGGATAGGAAGCACTTCCACTGGCCGAGCTATGACAAGAAACAGCCTTGCCCTCACCTCATTGACTCCTGAACAGCTACACATGGGACAAGGGCAACAAAACTTGAATTTGTGTGAGCCAATGCCTTTCTGTGTGCCTACTCATGAAGCTACTCTTTCTTCCTCTCTGTGCCCCGCTCTCCCACATTCATGCTCTCTCCTTCTTCCCTGTCCATCTCTTTCTTCGTGAGCGATCCGCACATTTGATCCGAGGCACACAGGGGAGACATAGAATGGTCTGTTGAGCAGAAAGTGTGGAGGCGGAGCCCAGGATCCCAGATAGATGGGGCCCTGTCAACGTTTTAGCTCCACTCCATTTTTAATCCCCTTGTAATTACAAAGTTCCTTCTCTTCTCTCCTTTTGCTCTTCCTTTAAAAAAAAAAAAAAATGACAATCTCCATTGAAATCCAGAGTGACAGAGCTACTTTGCAAGATTTTCTGATCATTAGAGCTACCTTGGGGCTATTGGGAGTTACTCCCTGCCCACTGTGGATTCTGTGGATCCCAGACTAGACCTGGGAGTCCATGTGACAGAGGCACCTAGCTCATCCTGATGAGTAGGCAGTCAAGTAGTCAGGTGCAACCTTTTATTACAAAAATTAAAACAAACAAAGAAAAATCTGGGACCTTTAGATGGCAAAGGCTTTGCTGAAGACAAACAGGGTGCTGGCCTTGGGGAGGGACATTATGGTCACAATGTCACGCTTGCAGTTTCTGTTCCTTGTGCATCCTTGGGAAAGATCTGAGCACGTGATGACGATGACCGGCTCTGTCACACAGCAAGTTGGAGATGCTTTGGGGGCTGGGAGCTAGGCCCTTATGTGATGCCACCCTCTTGCAATGGCTTGACTTCCCTTTAGAGGCTCAGTCCCTTCCCAGGGCCAGCACCACCCTCAGATGAGGGGAAGCAGAATAGACTCCTGTGTGGATGCCTAGCCTTCTCTTCCTCCTTCCCTGGTTGGGGAGAGAGGGTTGGGGGTTTGTGGGGAGAGTGAGAGTGAGTCATCTCTGCCATTCACTGTCACTTGATCCACTGGGGGTGGGGTGCAACTTTGTAGGTCTGTGCGATGGTAGCAGCCTCTTGCTTCCCTGCTCTCCCGCTAGCAAAGCAACTCAACAGCCTGCCCCCGCTAGGGGTCCCAGCAACTTGGAAGTGTTCTCAGAAGCCCTCTCCTCAGCAGCAGGACTCTGGGAGGCCCAGCTTTGCTGCCTGCAGACGGCCTGAGCCATCCAGCTCTCTCAGCTCTTCGCTGCTCTGTGTGGGGCCTGCGGTTTAGCATTTCCTTCCTTTCCAGCTAGGGCCCCAGCAGCCCCAGCCTGGCTGTTAAAGATACTGGTGAGAAATGTCACAGCATAGAGTGGGAGACATTTTTAAGAGTCAAAGGATGTGGGAGGCCGTTAAAGTCCAGCTAAGCTCTGTGGGATGGGAGCATTGAGTGCTGGCTCAGCTCCGCCCTTGCTGAAATGGTACCTAACTGCTGAGCACTGGTAGTTTTAAATTGTAACCTCATTGTCCTCCTGTCCAAGCTCTCACCACCATCACATGAACATACATAGTACCTTCTTACTTTGAATATTACTCCCTTAAGTATTCATCGTTATCTAGGTGATAGCATCCATCTTTAATCCCACCCCTCAGGAGACTGAAACAGGAAGATTTCAAATTTCAGGCCAGCCTGGACTACACAATGGGACCCTGTCTCAAATAAACATTCATTGTTTCTCTCTCTCTCTCTCTCTCTCTCTCTCTCTCTCTCTCTCTCTCTCTCTCTCTCTCTCTCTCTCTCTCTCTCTCTCTCTCTCTCTCTCTCTCACACACACACACACACGTTATTTTTTCTCATTTTTGTGTGTATGCATATGAATGTAGGTGTGTGTGTGTGTGTGTGTGTGTGTGTGCTCTTGTGCACGTGATCATGTGCGTGTGTGCAGACAAGAGGTTAACTTCAGTTTTCATTCCTCAAGAGCAATCCCCCTTGTTTTGTTAGAACAGGGTCTTTCATTGTGATTTGGGGCCTCGGCTGGCTACCCAGTGAAGCCCAGGGATCTGCCTGCCTTTGCCTCCAGTGTTGGGATCACAAATGCACAGCACCGTCCCTGGCTTTGATGTGGGGGGTGGGGATCAACTGAACTTATACCTCATGTCCCCACACTTTGTGCAGCAAACACTGCTTGAACCATCTCCCCAGGCCCGTTGTCTGCTTCTCTCTACAACCCATCAAGTTCAAGAGCACAGGTGCGTTTGCTATTGAGTGCCCAGCAGAGTTGCTGGCCCTTAGAAGGCCCATTGATGCATGTTCTTAAGTAAGCAGGCGACAGAAGAGGAGTGGCTGCCGTAGCTGTTGCCACCTACCCTGGCAGGAGGCAGGATGCACTCTCCTCTGACCATCCTGTAAGAGACCCTTAGCATGCCTGCTATCTGTTTTAAACAACCACTGCCGGGTCACATGTGACAATAGTCATGTCACAAACGTCCTGATGCTGCACTTAGAGAGAATTAGGAAGTGCTCCCCCCCCACCCCTGCATTTTAAGCACCTCTCCCTCTAGAACAGTGGTTCTCAGTCTTCCTACTGCTTTGACCCTTTAATATAGTTCCTTGTGTTGTGGTGGCCCCCAATCATAAAATTATTTTTGTTGCTACGTCATAACTGCAATGTTGTTATTGTTAAGAATTGCAATGTAAATGTCTGATATGCAGGACATCTCTGATATGCCCAGTGAAAAGATCATTTGACCTCCCAAAGGGGTCCTGACCTACAGGTTGAGAACCTCTGCTCTAGATGGTGATTAAAGTCTAAAGTTCCAACAATGACATTATTATGTAGGGCTTACCATTGCCTTATTTGTCTGTACTCCTGAGTTTCTAGGCTCCTCAAATTCATCTGCCCTGTCACTTGGATGAGATAGGAGGGAACTGAGAGCCCCTGGGAGTAAAGAAGGAGAAAAATGTTAGGGTTGTTAAGGACTGCCTTTGCTAGTCTAACAAGTTAGCACTAGACCAACCTGTCCCCATGAGCTGCCAATCAGCAAAAGAGACACAGACTGAACATCACTTTCACAGCTAGGCAGAGGCTCAGGAGTGCCCAGGAAGAAGACAGCACAGGGAGAATTGCACAAGGTTGTGGGACTCTGAAAGGGTGCTGAGTTGGAAACTAGAGAGGGTGACTTTGTTGTGCTAGTGTGTGTGTGTGTTGTGGAGACAGGTGGCCCTCATCATTAATCTGCACTATCCCTTCTTTTGTCTGAACCTCTGCCACCTCCTGCAAAATATAATTGGGATGATCTCTGAAGTTCCTTCAGTCACAGAATCTCTAAAGAGCAACGAGTCTGCTTGCCAGGGAGGACCCTGCTGGAATCTGCAATGTGTAGTCTCGTGTTGGGGAATTTTGAGGATTGCTAGGGCCTGCTTGAGATACAGCCCTGGGAGCCAAGGCTCTCCCTGTGCTGGGTTTCAGGGACTTGCTGGTTCTGTATGGATGTACCTGAGCATATGGTATAGTCAGTTATTTTGACCAGAATTTGGCCTCAGGGGTTGGCTGATTCAAGAGTCTCTCCCTCTGCAAGCTGTACCTTTATTGGGGATGCTTTTCTAAGTTTCTATAAAAATCCAAGTGACAGGGCTGGAGAGATGGCTCAGCAGTTAAGAGCACTGGCTGCTCTTCCAGAGGTCCCAAGTTCAATTCCCAGCAACTACATGGTGGCTCACAATCATCTATAGTGGGATCTGATGCCCTCTTGTAACATGAATCTTAAAGAGTCTTATTAATAAAATCAAACCTGAGGCCAGTTATTGGGGTGAATGCTGGTAGATCAGATGCAGAACAAGCCACAGCTATCTCACCTTGCCAGTTCCTCAGCTGGTCCTGTTTTCTCAGACTGGAAACCTCTGAGTCCTCATCCAGAATGAATCTCAGCTGAACTGTGCTGCTCCAAAGCCTGAAAGCTTAACCAGCCAAATGCTTCTAGTTTCTGGTCCTCATGCCTTATATACCTTTCTGCTTTCTACCATCACTCCCTGGGATTAAAGGTGTGAGTCACCATGCTTGGCTGTATCCTTGAACAAATGGATCTCTGCCTCTGGGATGCTAGGATTAAAGGCATGTGCTACCACTGCCTATCCTCTATGTTTAATATTGTGGCTGTTCTGTCTCTGACCCCAGATAAGTTTATTAGGGTACATAATATTTGGGGGAACACAATACCACCACACCCTCTTCTGGCATAAAGTTGTACATGCAGATAGAGCACTCATGCATCAAATAAATAAATAAATAAATCTTTACAAAGAAAAAAAAGAAAAATCCACATGGGTGATTTAGTTGTTCATCACTGTGACAGAAAACCCAAGTAAGACAACTGAAAGGAAGGTTTATTTTGGCTCATAGCTTTAGGGGTTTAGAGCATGCTCGTTGGCTCTGTGGCTTCTGGGCCTGCTGGTGAGGCAGAGTCAGCGTGGAAGGGTGTGGAAGAGCAGAGCCATCCATTCACTTCATGGTAGCCAGAATACAGAAAGAGTCAGGAGAAAACACTAGGTCTAAGATGCTCTTGGGGTACCAGCCTCTAGAAACCAGCATCTTCCAACCCTGTAGGCCTCACTTCTGTAGTTCCACTTCCTACCAACAGTCTACTCAAAATCCAAATACATAAATGTGTCCGTGCCTACGCAGCTCGAGACACAAACCACGACAGCCCCCAGTGTCCTGAAGAGTCCCCTTATCCTTCAGGGACTTCCATTCAGGTGAAACCCATCTTTGACTTCACTGGAGAGAAGAATTTCAGGATGAGCCAGTGTGAAGCAGAGTTGGAGTTTATTAAAAAATGAAAAGAATGTTTGACATAGATTTAAACACAGGGGTTCCTAGAAGGAGACACCCCCAGAGGGAGAAGAAGCCACACAGAGGAGGTGGGCATGGGCCTTCTTCAAGGACAGCAGCCTCAAGTGTCTTAGCAGCCCCCATATAGTCCACTTGGTTTCTCACAAGTTACAGCAGAGAGCAGACACCACCCAGTCTGTCTCTTTTGATAAGGGAGCTTATAGGATGGCTCCATGGGATTACAATATTATAAAAATAAACTATGAGCCACAGGATTGTGCAAAGGGGTGAAGACATGTCCTTCACTGCCAGTGGAGTCTAGTAAGATTCCTAGAAAACTGTAGGGTTTTAGCTGGGATAGGAGAAAGGTCATGTACACATAGGTCTTAAGCATGATCTGTTGCTATTTTATATTCTTATTAAAATATCTCTCTATAAAATGTCTCTCTATAAAATGCACAGCTTTTGCAGCAAATGTTGTTAACTGTGCTGGAGTTCTTGACTTTAAGGTGGAGAGAGTCTCTGAGTAGATCCTGGGTGAGTGGCTCCTCTCCTATGTCTCCATCATTTACCCATTTTTCTGTCCTGCCTCAAATGAGTCAAACTGCCACTTAAGTCAGAGCACTCCTGATCTGATCATCTCTGGAAACATGTTCACAGACACACTGGGATGTTCTAATCTCTTAGATGTCTCTCAATCCAATTAAACTGCTAAGGAAGATGGATTATTCCATACCATATCACATAAGCAAGATTGACCATCATACTACGTCACTAAGCAGATGCAAAGAGGGACAATTCCGGGAGATAACAGGGTGAATAACAGCCCATTGGAGGTTGTGATAAGAAATACACATGGGCCTCTGGGTCTAGCATATGGTTTGATCACATGTGTGAGCAAGAAGTCTGCACAGTGAGTGATCAACCAAGGGACCACACTGTGTGAATGACAGATCAGTAAGTGATACAGCTCCAGTGTGCAGATCCTAGGGCGCCAGACCTTCAGAGCAGGGAGGAGGCAGGTGTAAATTGACCAGTTTTTAAGGAGAGCTCAGAGCCAGATTTTGAAGGCTCAGTAGGTGTAGGTCAGCTGGTGATGGAAGGCTTCACGGGAACAGAAGAAGTGATTGGTACTGGGTCAGGTCCTGAGGAAAGAGGGGACAAGGTCCAGCCAGGTGGGAGCAAGAAATGGAGTTGAAGGTGTGAGGCTGGCTTGGGGAAAGAATGGACACAAGAAGAAGATTGGCCAAGTTTGGCCTAGTGCTTGGAAGTCATGTGGGTCAGAGAGCAGCAGGGAGGTGGAGACTAGCAGGGGATTGTTTTGTCTCTTCATGTCTGTCTTTCTCTTGCAGGCTTCTCAGTAAGTTAAGTCAAGATATCAACAAGAATGAAGAGAGAAGAAGCATTTTCACACGCAAGTGAGTAGGGAGCTCCAGCCTAGGCACCACTACAATGGAACTCAAGAATTAAAATCCCAAGATGTGCCTTTAAAAGAATCTGTAGCACGGGTTTTGCCCCTACTGCTTCCCCTGTGGTGGTCCCCTCTGTCCCGGGGGTCAGGAAGAGAGTGCGGAAGGAGGGGAGGGAGTTCCCTCTTCCCGATGAACATTTTGCCCCTGGGTCCAGGACATCAGGGGAACATTCCCTAGATTGTTAAAGAGTCACAGGCTGTGACACCAGTGCGGCTTTAGTGGACTCCAGAAACTGAGGGACAGCTCAACTCTGGTTGCCAAGCAATGAGGGGGCAAGTCTTGGGCAGGGAGATATAATCGCCATTGGTGCAGATTGGCTGGACTGAGGAAAGGAGATGCCATTAGATGGACAGGCTATTGATGCTGTTGTTTGCCTTTGCAGAACCCAGGTTCAGCGATTTCCGGAGGAGACAGGTAAAGGTACCGGGGCTAAGAGGCAGCTGCTCTAGGAGGTGAACCGTGCTTCAGTTCTGGCCTTCTTGAGTACCTTTCATGGGACTCAACTCATTAACTTACTAGCCAGGTCTTCATCATAAAAGAGTTTGGGTTCCCACTGAGAGGAGGAAGGATGCCAGTCTAGAGGTACGGTGCAGACCTCTACTTGCTCTGTGGGAGAGCCTAGACTAAGCTCTGAGCACCTGAGCTGAGCCATGTCTCATTTCTGAGTCTTTCAAGCAGTTTTCCATTGTACAATTGCACAAAACATCTCGAGTTGGGTTCCTGGACCCTACCCAGTCCTGTTGAGTAAGAAACCCCATGAATAAGGTCCCAGGTCTTACTCTATGAAAGCAACCTGGGTAACTTTATATGCATACAAGAAAGATTAGGTACCATTGCTGCTCTCTGGTATAATGAACTCTTCAGATAGAAACGATATGGCCAATAGTAAGTTGCTCTCTTAGTATGTTTTAATACTGCTCCTAAAGCTGGTTACTTTATGAAGGAAAGAGATTTATTAATTTCAAAGTTCTAGAGGTCCGAGAGCATGGTGCTGCCTTCAGTTCAACTTCTGGCTAAATTCAACTTCATTACAAATAGCATCATGTGGGAAAGCATGAGACTAGCAAGGGGCATGTGTAGAAGTGACATGCCAGGAGTGTGCCTGTAACAAGTAATCTAGTCTCCAGGCCCAGATGACTCCTGTGACACCTATTCCAGTCTGGAGAGACCCAAGTCAGTCTCTGGAGAAAGATACTGATCCATTCATGAGGTCCCTAATTATCTCTTAAGGATCCCTCGGCTTCTCAATGCCATTGCATCACGATTTAAATGAGTTCTGGTAGGGTAAACTGTACTCAATACAACAGTTGCTGGCCCTGAAGCATGTAGAGGAAAGAAAAAAGGCCTGTGACGGATACTGGGAGGGAGATCTGCTCTGACTCTGTCGGGTGCTGATGGTGGTGTTATCTCTTTCACAGAAAGCCATGAAGAAGACAATGGTGGCTGGTCATCCTTTGTGAGTATGGTTTGGGGCAAATCACCTTTATAGTGATGGCCAGAGTGGCTTTACATTGATCGTCATAATGCTGAAAAAGGAGCAAGCTCCCTCCTCCAACAAGGCATTGAAACATCCCATTTCAGGGCTCAGAAAAGGCCCAGCAGTAAATATTCCCAGCTTTGGAAGCCCAGAGGTTTCTC